CTCCTTCCTTGCTGGTCCTCATGCGTCCCTCTGCATCTTCACCCCGCCTTATCCATCAGCCGGATCCTGTCCCTCAGACCTCATCCCAGCACCAGGTCCTGCCTCCCCTCCCACTTCTCCCAGCCTGCACCTCCTCCCACACATTCCCACCCCTGCACAGACTTCCTCCCTGTCCTACTCTACCCATCACCTCCCACACCCCTGGCCACAGTGGCATAAGATACTGGAGCACATCTCAGCTTTGGACCAGGATGCTGTCCAGTTTTGGGAAAGTCAGCCTCACCTGTAAAATAGAGAAATAAACTCCATGAAGTGGTTGTGTGGACCAAGTTGAGAATGCAGGTGAAAACATACAACTGTAGAGTATAAAAGTGTTAGTTACTTCATTTGCTGAGCATTGTCCTGCTTTATATTTTTATGTTCATAGCGTTTACCATCTTCTTTTTTTAAAATGGAAAAATGTTAATTAATGTTGAGTAACAAAATCTGGTAATAAGCACAGTGTATACAGCCTGAAAAAATTTCATATGAATAAAATACTACAAAAGATATAATGTACCAAAATGTTAATGATTTATTTTTCTTCTTGAAGTTTTATAGTTTATGTTTTACATGTAGATCTATGGTTCATTTTGAGTTCTCTTTAGTATCAGGTGTGAGGTGTAGGTCAGACTTGTCTTTTCTCATCAATACACAATTATCCCAACACTGCTCATGTTCAAACTGTACCTTCATCAATATTCTATTGACCATATTCATGTAGGTCTATTTCTGGAATCCCTATCCTAATTCATTGTTCTATTTGTCCATCTTTAGGCCAATACCACACTGTCCTTTTTTGGGGGGGGATTTGAAAACATTTCATTAGCATAATATGAAAGTTTTTGTTTTTTAAATGTATCATCTTCTAACAAGCTATAATTTTGTCTTTTATTGATTGACTGTCTTCCTCTGCTAGTATGTAGGCTCCATGAGGCAAAGATTTTTTTTGTCTGTTTTATTCACTGCCCTATCCCTAGTGTCTAGAGCAGTAGGTGTTCAAAAACATGTGTTGGGTGAGTGAATTCTCTATCTGTGTGTAACGCACTTCTGTAAAGCCCCTAACTTTACTGCCTCCAAGAAGCCTCCCTTCAAATGCTTGTACTGCAATAACTTAATCATTGCAGTGTCTCCATTTTGTAGATAAGGAGACTTGACTGGAGTTAATCACCCAAAAGTGGCAGGGCTAGATGCATTTGTTCCATTTGTTCATTTTAAATTTTTTTATCCTCACCTGAGGACATTTTTTCATTGCTTTTAGAGAGAGAGAGAGAGAAAAAGGAACATCAGTTGGTTGCCCTGACCCGGGCAGCCCTGACTGGGCCTGCCCAGCCCCTCATCGAACTCAAAACCTTTTGGTGTGCAGGACAGTGCTCCAACCAAGTGAGCCCCACTGGCCAGGGCCGTTGGTTTATTTTCAAACACCGAGCACCTCCTGTGTTCTAGGCACTGTACCGGGTGCTAGGGACACAAATAGCTAAGACTTGGTCCTTCCTGTTCCCCACAGCACTTTTTTTTTTTTTAGATTTTATGTATTTTTTTTAGAGAGGGAAGGGAGGGAGAAAGAGAGAGAGAGAGAAACATCAATGTGTGGTTGCTGGGGGCCATGGCCTGCAATACAGGCACGTGCCCTTACTGGGAATTGAACCTTCGACACTGGTTCGCAGCCCGCACTCAATCCACTGAGCTATGCCAGCCAGGGCCCACAGCACTTTTGAGGGGAAGGGTCATAGAAGGAAGCACAGGATGCTATGGGAACATTGAAGGGCCCCCTCCAAAGTCATTGGTCTTCAAGACAAGTGCCCCTTCACTGCCCAAACTGCCCCTTGGACTCACCACTATATTCTTTTTTTTTTTTTTTAACAGAACATGATTATAGTTTAATACAACCAAAAAATAAAACACCACCTCTATTTTTATATCACTCATAAATGCTCCAGCTCCCAGGATTCTGGAGCCCACTTGCAGGTCATCCAGTTCAGGGTCCTGTGCTGCTTGCGCACCACTGCACTGCATTCTGCCTCGCCCCGTTTTCTCTACCAGTGGGCAGCTCCCTTGGAGAAAGCAGTAACTCAATCCCCATATCTTTTTTTAAAGATTTTATTTATTTTTATTTTCAGAGAGAGGGGAAAGGAGGGAGAAAGAAAGGGGGAGAAACATCAATTGGTTGCCTTGCTCTGACCAGGAATTGAACTGATAGCCTTTCAGTTCACAGGCCAGCACTCAGTCCACTGAGCTGCACCAGCCAGGGCTCAATCCCCGTATCTTGATAGCCACTCAGCCCTGATCAGGAAACTGAGGCCCAGATAATTTGTTAGATCTATCGACATGCAGCAAATCAGAGGCAGGACTGGAACCCGGTCTCCAACCAGCCACAATGCCGCCCACCCTAACCCCCAGCAGGCTGTGCTCCTCTGCACCTGGCTGGCCTGCCCTGCGTTCTCCTGCTTCTTCTGAGACTGGGGATCTGTGTATGCCCTGGCAGCAGGAGAGCAGACTGATGGTACCTGGGGTCCAGAGTTGGGGTTGAATACTTAGGATGAAAGCCCACTTTGGAGTTCAGATTTAGGATTGAGGTCATTTTGGTGATGGTGAGTCAGGGGATTCTTTGGAAAGAGCCTAAAGTGAAATTTAGGGTGAGGTTCCTTCTTTCTCCTGCCTCTTTCCCCCAAAGATAGGGAGGTCCAGGATAGGAAGAGTTAAGTATGGTTTTGCTTCCCCAATCAGGAGGGGAAGCCAGACAGTGTGTGTGTGTGGGGTGGGGGGGAGCGGACTGGGTGGGACAGCATAGATGCTCAGTGCCAGGGGGTGCTGAGGCAGTGGGAACAGCACAAGCCCGGTCCCTGGTCCCTCACGTTTCATTGGCTCATCCACCCGTCCTCCATTCCTGGTTTGGGGAACAGAAGAGGGAGAAGCAAACAAGACTTTTTGTTTTGTCTGGGAAGCCAAGGGTGGGTCCTGTACCCTGAGGGAGGGGACTGCCAGGAGGGGAAGCCGTATCCTGGGTCCCTCACCTGGATGCATCCTGGATGATCACCACACTGTACAGCACTCTCCTAGAAATGGGAGCCAGAGCATCCCTGCCCTCCCACGTGACCTCTCTGAGCACTAAGAGTCCTTGCCTAGTCCCATCCCAGCCCTTTGTCTGTTGGAGGCCTGCTCTAGAGCTCAGAACAGAGGGCCGGTCCAGCTCTCCTTCCTTTGCATATTACAGAAACGCTGATGTCTTGGAGGTGCAGGAGTTAGCAACATCGTTTCATTTCCCAGGTTCCTCATGGCAATCAACTGTGGGAGGCACAGGGTCAGGGCACCCATGGGTTCCAGAGCTTTACCACCTCAGAGAGGATTAGGTGGCTGGTGGGGGTAGGGCAAGGATTAGGGGACAAGAGTGGAAGGACTGATCGAAAGGGTCCTTGGTGGCCTGGCTGGTATGGCTCAGTGGATTGAGTGCCAGGCCTGCGAACCAAGGCCTGTGGTTGCCGTTGGATTCCCAGTCAGGGCACCTGCCTGGGTCGGGGGCCAGGTCTTTAATGTGTGAGAGACAACCACACATTGATGTTTCTTTCTCTTCCTCCCTTCCCCCCTCTCTCTAAAAAGAAATAAATAAAATCTTTTTTTTTTTTTTTTTAAGAGTTCTTGGTGAACCTCGAGGATGGAGGCTCTAGAGCTGGGGTGGGAAGCCTGGGGACCTGGATGGTCCTGTTTTATTAGAGGGCCTGGCCCTTCCCCAGAGCCAGCTGCAAAGCAGACCTGGCTAAAGAGGGGAATGTGCTGGCTACTGGTTATGGGGTCTTCGCTGTCCCTGCCCCCCATCACCCCCATCACCCCTGGCTGCAGCCAGGAGGGAGATCTGTTGTACCACTGGCTGTCCAGCACCCCTGCTCTGCTCCCCCTTTCAGGCCCCTTTGGGAACCACAAAAATCTGGGACCTGGTGTCCTGGCAACATGATGAGTGTGCACACAGCTTCGGTATCTGTTTTAAATTATCCATTAAAATAAGTACAGTGCTGGCAGTGGGGAGGAACCCAGTACAGCCCTACAGTTGATAGGGTGGGGTAAGCAGTAGGAAGGGACTGAAGAGGGGAGGAACCAAGGCAGCCTTGTTTTCCAGTTGCTGGGGTCCAAAGGAAGGGGGCAGGGGATGGAGGGAGCAGTGCCCGAGTCCTAGTCTTGGCCTTCTCTGGGGGCCTGTGGCTTCTTGTTTAGGTCTGAGACCCAATGATTGGTTTCGAAGGAAGATTAAATCTACGGCCATACTACACTGAATGCCCCCGATCTCATCTGAAGGAAGATTAATTGGTGCAGAAGCTAGGAAAATAGGGACCCCAAACTCCTGGTCTCCACCCCAAAACTGAGGCTGTAAAAGGAACTCAGAATCTAGAAACTTTTGTGCTCCCCGGACTCCCCCCAAGCATACCTTGCCCACCCATGCTGGCTTACTGAGATGTAGCTCTGAATGGGCTGCCCACGTGTGGGGGGGGGGGGGGTAGGGGTGACTCATTATTGCCATGGGGAGGAAAGGGGGAGCAGTGGGGGACTAAGAGTGAGTCACCCTGACGGGCACTAGCCTCCGACCCCCTACCGCCTTTCCTGGATCTGCCTGCCTGGCATTCTCACTTGCTTTGCACTTTCCCTCTCCCCACTGCCCTTCACCCACCCACTGTCGCCCCTTGGCTCTGCCCTCTACGCCTGAGGCTTGAGACAGTAGGAGGGCTAAGCAGCCAAGATCTGCGACCGGGAGCTTCAGCTAAGCTCCGACAGATTTGAGTGCGCTGGAGAGGGTGGAGCCCGACTCCGCCGAGACTGGGCGGTCCTCTTCCCCTGCCCCCCACTCCCGCCCCAACCCCAGTGGGTGTGCCATGGCCCCTTTAAGAACAGTGGCCCCTCCTCCCATTCCCAGGACCTATTAGAGCCTTTGCCTGGACTCCGGTGACTCAGTGTTCGCGGGAGTGCCGCAGCCACACCAGCCAACCCCGATCCCAGGTCTGACAGCGCCCAGCCCAGATCTCCACTTCTGCCAGGAGCAAGCCGACAGCCAGCCGGCCGGCGCGCTCCAAATCCGAGCCATCTGTGTCCTTCGGCCCGAGCCCAGCGCCCTTCCCGGGACCCCTGCCCTGCGGGCAGCACTGCCACCCTGCCGGCCATGGAGACCCCGTCCCAGCGGCGCGCCACCCGCAGTGGGGCGCAGGCCAGCTCCACTCCGCTCTCGCCCACCCGAATCACCCGGTTGCAGGAGAAGGAGGACCTGCAGGAGCTCAACGACCGCTTGGCGGTATACATCGACCGTGTGCGCTCGCTGGAGACGGAGAACGCAGGTCTACGCCTTCGCATCACCGAGTCTGAGGAGGTGATCAGCCGCGAGGTGTCCGGCATCAAGGCCGCCTATGAGGCCGAGCTGGGCGATGCCCGCAAAACCCTTGACTCGGTGGCCAAGGAGCGCGCCCGCCTGCAGCTGGAGCTGAGCAAAGTGCGAGAGGAGTTTAAGGAGCTTAAAGCGCGGTGAGTGCGCCCAGGTGGCGGCGTGCGGGCGGGCCGGTCACACCTGCCCGGCCCCAGGCTTCTGATAACTTTGCCATTTAGTCTCCTTCCTCCCCGGAACTGCCCTCAGCGGGTGACTGACAGTGCCAAGGGGAATCATCTGGATGGGACAGATAAGGGACGGTTATCTGGGGGAGGGCGGGGGACTTAAAGAATGGTGGGGACATCAAAGGCCAAGTAGGGGCGGTGGCGGGCCCAGGGGTTAGGTTTGCCGGCCCTTTGGAGCCTGAGGGAGGAACTTGAGCGAAGCAGAACTAACCTGCCCGGTCTGAGAAATCTGGGCACCCCAGGGCACATCGGAATGGGTGAAAGGGTCCTATTAGAACTTTTCTTGGCAGGCTTGGCACAGAGCCAGTTTTGCCCAGACTGGCTCTGAACACATGATGTTCATTAAGACAGAGCTTCCAAACTGGCAGATGTCCAGTGCTGCTGGAGAGAGGTCACAAGGCAGGGCGACCCCTTTTCTCCCCTGCCGGGGCCTGTCGGTGGCCCTCTTGGCACAGCCCTCTGGGGTTCTGTCTAAGAACTGGGAGGCTATCCTTCTCTCTCTGCTTGTCTGCGACCTTCCCTGGGTCCTGACAGGCCCACCGATCTGCTCCAGGAGGTCCGCTCCTCTTCCCCCGCAGCTCCCACAGCCCTTGGCCTGCTTGGCCCAGGAATGCAAGGGAGGGAGGGAGACCGAGGGCAGAGGCTCCACCTCAGGAAGTTGTGCTGTACCCAGGTCTGGTGGCTCCCCCAGCCTCCTGGGGACTCCTCTGCCTGGTGCCTCACGGGATTTAGGGCTGTGTCCCTCCCTCTGCCTCCCTCCTCAGGGTGAGCCACTTTCATTTTCCCAGTCAAGCCTAGCTGTCTTTGCTCTGGCCTATCCTCTCAACCACTGCCTCCCCCTGCCGTCCTCCCTGCGCCTTAATAAATTGCTGGAATACAGTGACATTTTTGAAATCCAGCAGTTGGAAGCTCCAGGCCTCTCTTACCTCACCCACCCTTGCCCCACCCTACCCCACCCTATTTGACTCCACCCTCTTTTCTAAAAAGGCCTTTGGAGCCTGGAACTTTAGGCCCTCTTTCGGTCCCCCAATAATTTGTTTTCCTTTTCTCTCTTGCCCTTTTCTCTATGAAGACCTAAGTCAAAGAGCTCTAAAGGTGCCCGAAGATCCCTAGGCATGGGTGGGGGGGTGGTGTGTGTGGACTATGATTTGAGTTCCCCTCTTTCTCCTTTTTTTTTTTAAGATTAATTTGAGAGAGAAAGAAACATCAATTTTGTTGTTCCACTTACTCATGCATTTATTAGTCGATTCTTGTGTACATCCTGCCTGGGAGCAAACCTATAACCTTGGCTTATCCAAGTGTTCTAACCAACGGAGCTACTGGGCCAGGGCTACTCTCTCTGTTTAGGTACCAAACTCGTGCTCTTAGAGTCTGCACACATTCCATATTCTCTCCACCCCTACGCTAGCTAGCTCCAGCCCCAGGAGTGGTGGGTATGGCAGATCCATCCCCTTGTAAAAAATAGGTGGAAGTTGTGTGGGCAGATAGGCTGACTTTATTTCTGTTGAAAGGGAACACTCCTGACTTTTTCACTCGAGATTTGAACAAGTAAGTTAGTTGGACCGACAGGAGGCAAGCCAGGAGAACCCCAGAGAATGCTAGCGTTCTAAACGGGTCCACTCGACCACCAAAGCCCCCATGGCAGATCACTGTGAAGGGCATTCTCCGCAGGTCTCTCTCTGGGCAGACACTGGTCAGGAAACAGGACAGTGGAGTCTGTGGTCTCATGCTCACCCGGCCACACCAGTCCGTCTGCTCTGTCTCCTGGTGCAGCTGTCTGGGCCTGGAACACCAGAGAGGGGTGTGCACACGTGGGGCAGGGGCGGGGGTGGTGTATGTACTTGTTATATTTAGCCACCTGACTCTCTTCTCCCCCACTGATCCTGGTTGGGGAGGCTGGGCTTCCGGAAAAGGGGGGTGGGTTTGCACATCTGGGTCCCAGGCTGATGGACAGCAGGGTGGAGACAAAGAGGGACTCCTACTGGGGTGACAGTCCTCCTCTATGTCCCTAGTGGGAGGAGCTAGGATTTGTTGCTCCCTTTTTTGTCTACTGTACTCAGGGAGAGGGGAAGAGTAGAATGAAAGATTCGAGAGAGGAGGAAAGGCCTTGTCCTAGCTCCTCCCACTAAAGTTGAAAGAGAGGGTGTCATTTGGTTTAATGTTTAATTAGAGCTCAGAGTTCAGGGCCAGGCTTTGGGTTGGGTTGCAGAGGGACCCTGTGGCCCAGCCTGCGTGCCTCGACCACACCCAGGGGTTTGGGGCGCCCTCTCCTTGAACTGGGTTCAACGCTCCCCATACCCCCGACACGCAGACACACATTCTTCCTATTCTGGAGCCTACGTGCGTGCAGGGAGAATGAGATTGAAAGCAGCAGGGAAGGCCCGCCTGGGGTCCAGGTTTGGGCTGGGCCCCACCCCGGGCAGGACAGCTGGGTGGGTGACTCAGATGCTGTCCCCCTCCCTCCCACCCTGGTGGCTTTACAAGAGATAGCAGGTGTCTTAAAGGGAGAGATGGGGGCCTAAATGTCTGTATCTCCACCCCAAACTCCTGCTCCCCACTCACCACCCTTGGATTCTTTCCTGCCTCCTTCCCTAGGACCTCTGGTGGTGGCCTGGGACCAGGGCTCGGGACAGGCAGTGCGCACAAGTAGTTCTGGAGTTGAGGCCAGAGTTATGGGCTTGGGCTGCAGGACAGTGCCAGAGTCTGCGTCTTCCCGTGGGGAACTGGTGGAGGAAGGGTGAGTCAGAAGTGGGGAGATCCCTGGCCCACAAAGCAGAAGCACCTCTTCCCTCCGGACGAGGCCTGTGTACTTGACAACTTCCTGGATTGCCTGCCTTATGCCACCTCAGTGGGGACAGGCAGGGAGGTGCAGGCCCAGGTTCATTCAAACTCTTATCAGGATAAGAATAGCAAAGGTCAGAGAGGCTCCACGTCACACAGTGAGGGAGTGTGACAAGTCAGGGCTTGAGCACAGGTCCACTTCTGACTCCCAGTTGAGTGATTATACCATTAAATCTTACTCCTCTAGCTTAGGGAACAGTTGGAGGTCCAGGAGGGAGGGAGGGGGTTGTCGAGGTTCACTCCTGCGGTCTGGAGATTCTGCTTTGGGACCCAGGATACCTCAATGCTCTGCTATTTTGCCAGGACCTGTTAACACTTAACAATAGCCTTCGCCCCAGCCTGAAAGACCCAGGACCCTGCCGGGCTGTGGATCAGGGGCTGGTGATTCTCGTCTTGGGACTTGTCATGGAAATTGTCCACCTGGATCCAAAGGGAGCTGTGCCCTTTGCATGGAGGCCTTTGAGGACACCTGAGCCCCAGTCCTCACTTGAGGAAGTCTACTGATGTCATCTCTGCCCTACCCCCAACCTCACCGAAGTCTACATTTTTGTTGAATTCATTACTTTTTTAGAGAGAGAAAAATTTGTTGTTCCACTTATTTATGCATTCATTGGTTGATTCTTGTATGCACCCTGACTGGGATCGAACCCACAACTGTGGCTTCTCACCATGATGCTCTAACCAACTGAGCTACGTTGCCAGGGCTTTAAGATTTTATTTACTTATTTTTTTTTAAATATTTGCTTTTTTTAAATTTTTTTTTCGATTTTTTTCATTTATTTATTTTTAGGGAGGGAAGGGAGGGAGACAGAGAGAGAGAGAGAAACATCAATGTGCGGTTGCTGGGGGTTATGGCCTGCAACCCAGGAATGTACCCTGGCTGGGAATCGAACCTGGGACACTTTGGTTCCCAGCCCGCGCTCAATCCACTGAGCTACACCAGCCAGGGCTTATTTACTTATTTTTAGACAGAGGGGAAAGGAAGGAGAAAGAAAGGGAGAGAAACATCAATGTGTGGTTGCCTCTCCAGTGCCCCCTTCTGGGGACATGGCCTACAACCCAGGCATGTACCCTGACTAGGAATCGAACCAGTAACCCTTTGGTCCACAGGCTGGCACTCAATCCACTGAGCTATACAAGCTGGGGCCAAGTCTGCATTCTGATTCAAAGGGAAAGAAGAAGGTGCAGCTAAACCCTGGGGCCGAACAGTACTTGAGGAGCCTAAGAGAAACGAGATATTAATCCCCACTCGGGCCCCCGATTGCCTTCCCACAATCAGTGCCTCTGGTTGGCACTTCCCCTGGCCTTTAGGAGTCTGAGACATACTCTTGTCTGGGCTGTGCCCACTGTCCGCACTCCCAGTCCCATCGTAGTGTTTCAGTAGCTTAGTGTCAGGGCTGAAGCCAGGGACAGCTGGGAAGACAACTGGTAAGAGACACCTTCACCTACCAACTGTTCCCTCTGCTCTCCTGCCCCTCGCCACCCCCACCCCTTCAGCCCCTTACCATCTCTAGCAGCTGTAGCAGCCAAGACCAGGTTTGGCTCAGAGGCCCAGACACTAGAGCAGTTCATCTGTTTCCTGCCTCCCTGGGCCCCCAGTGTATTGACGGCGACACAGGCTGAGGGCAGATCTTCCTGGAGCTGTCTTTGGGGAGGTCGCCAAGTCTCATCCTTCACCCCTTAACGAGAGGCATGGTGGTCTACCAACGAAACGACAGATTGTGTGAGGGAGTTGAAACAGCCCTGGCCCTTGGTGTCCCTAGTCCTAGGCTTGGCCTTGCCACTGAATTGCTGTGTGACCTTGAACAAATCACCTCCCCTCTCTGGACGTCCTTAGCTGTAAAAGAAAGGGGTCAGAGTAGGTCTCCAGAGGTCCCTCAGGTTCCAAAGCAATAGTACCCACAAAGGGAAAAAGAAGCCTTCTAAATACCAAGCTATAAATATTAAAATCAAGTGCCATTAATATAATTAATAGCCAGTGCTATTCTCAATAGAAATATTTCCCATAAGCTATGAAATTAAAAGTACTAACACCCTCTTCCTCTCTCAAAGAAAGTTTCTTAGGAACGATT